TGTGTGTCATAAGAAAAAAATGCACAAAAATTCGCCATGTTATTTACTAGAGTTCGGTGATGACGAGAAACAAGGTTTTTCAATCGAAAGTTAGAATGTTGTAATAAAGACAGAAAATTTTTAAAAAATAATTAAAATTACTTTGTTCTTTACTCTTACTCGTAACATAGACATTTTGGCGATAAAATTTTGTTTTCGTTAAGTTTGACGTCTTTTTCATCAGACTATACGCTTTTTTTAGCGATCTCGTGCATATCCCTAATTTTAAACTTTATAAACTGCAAAAAAGTTATGGTTATCAAAAGCTTTTGATGTTACAAACTGGAAGTATATGCATATTTACTTTCTAACATTTCTATTACACAAAATTTGCAATTTAAATTTACATTACTAAAATAGACCATGCATATAATCACTGCACAAGAGTATTCCTTTATGTTGATAGCATATTTTGAGAAAATTGTTCCAAATAGATGTAAAATTATTACAATGAAATTTAGTTACACAAGTATAATATACATTCATGATCTGTTGAGAAACAGAAAAAATATCTATACCTATTTAATTCAGTGTATATATTAATATTTAATACTTACACCTTAAAAATAAAGTATAAAGGTGAACAAGAAAATAAACACACAATACAATTCAGCTAAATAATAATGAATGTCAAAAGGATACTACAGAACCACCCCAGGCATCTACAGACTGCATCATGACAGTAGAAGACACCAGACAAGGAATAAGCCTGCTGGAAGACCTCAATCCCCATCAAGAGAAGTTGAAATGGTATAACCATGTCACAACACCCAACACTCTTTCTACCACCATCCTAAAAGATGCAACCATAGGCAAAAAAAAAAAAAAAAAAAAAAAAATGGGGGGTCTGACAACATCACACTGAGTGAACTGGAAGATCCTTCACAGACATTAGCATTCAACTGAAAGGTCAGGTGTTCAGCAACCATATAACTATACCCAGTTAATGAACTGATGATGATACCATGAAAACAACTCTGTCACTAACTTATTTCATGATTTTGAATAATTTTTTTTTTGTCAACAAGTTACATTTCACCAATTCTTATTAGAATCAAATCACTGCTCAATGGTAATGCTTGTAAAACACATGCTCAATCTTAATGTAACTTTTCATGTGAATTTCAAAGACTAGTTTTCAGCATGTATACAATTTCAGGTTTTTTAATGATTTGTGCAATTTATAAGATGTAATCATTCTCATTTCATTTGGAAATGAGATGTTTATGGTGCTGAACTCCTATGTAATATCTACCCTTCTAAATGGCATTAAATGTTAGACAATTTTCTTCATAAATGAACAGAGGACTTGAAACAGAATTGTGGTTCTAACAAATGATGCTGAGAATATCATAGATGGAGTTGTATGAGCAATGACAAGGTTTTCAGGAGAATGGGAATGAAAAGGACATTAGATCATTGCAAAAGTTTGTGACAAATTAAAAAATAAAACAATGTTTTTTTTTTTCCTCAAATAACTGCTTTGAGATTGGCGAGTTGGTCACAATACTTTGCAGCTAGTGTGCCACCAGCTGGAAGCAACTCAAAGTGAATCCCAAACAGACTAACACCTTCACTGGATGCAAGCCCACTTTAACCACGGGTTATGCACATTTTCTAGCTCTGCTTGCATTTAACATTATCAAAACAAACCATTTTTCATGATCTGCAACAATTCTGCCAAGGAATAGCTCATTTTTGTGGAGTAACAGCAAAAAAAGTGCCACAGAAACACAATTGAACTTGTTCTGTCCTGTGAGAGAATGTGGCATCCCCACCATGTCAATTTTGGAAACAAATCAAAGTCTTTTCAAATGGCAAAAGACAGTTGAGAGAGATTTTCAAACTCTTAGCAATCTTCCATTGAAATCTTTTTATTCTCTAACAATGGCAAACAGCTTTGTTGGTATCAGAAGGTTACCCACAGCAGGATTGATCATTTAAGTTAAAATCACCCTGACAAAATCTGCCAAACTACTTTTTGACTGTCCGAAGAGCTAGAGCACAATCTAAATAAAGCTTCTGAATGATTTTTGTCAGAGTTCAACATTTCCCTGAAATTGGCACCAAAATGCTAGTGTCAAGATGTGGTCATTTTATATCAAAAATGAAAATCAGACAAACTTCTGCAATGATATGATACTTACAATCAGAAAGAGACAGTTGAAAAGAAGAACGAGAGCTTGGAGAATTTAACACACAAAACATATTGGACAGAAGGAAATAATGAGTAACTTCCCCAACAAGATTATGTAAATGTATAAAATAGTAGGGACTGGGAGGAATAGTAAAGGGTCAAAAGTTGCTTAAAGCTACAAAGGACAGGTAGATAAGGAGAGCCATAATGACCTACATCCTAAAGAGCCACAGCACAAAATATTAAAATAAAAAGTAATGTGTAGCAACTTAGTAATGTTCTTAATGATTAAGCATAATGTTGATATTTCATCACCAGCTATTTTTAGATAGAATTATTGTGTTGTCAAAGAGATGCTAAAAATAAATGTGCAAAAGACATTTGGCATTTTCAGACTGTTCCTCTTAGCAGCAGGAATGAAGATGAGGAAAGAGTGTTTAGTAATGTAATCAGGAAATGAATTATAAGGTGGCAGAAGTAAACAGGTAATTTTATATATATATATATATATATATATATATATATATATATATATATATACACACACACACACACACACACTTTGGTCGGTTTGGCAATTTATGTTTTGGTATCAATTTTTTTTTAATGAAATTTCTATGCTTATTCAACTAAATCTTTACATTTCAGTCAGCATATTTATTTATGTAATTTACATTCTAAGCAGGCAGCATTTAAGTTAGCTCCTGCAAAGTGCTCTTGATAGAACCTTCACAACTGGTAGGGAGGAGTAGATGCAATAGACTACAGAAGAAGTTGATCGCTGCATTTAAGTATTGCATTAATATTTAAGCTTGCCTTTTAAATAGTCAATAATAATTCTTCTGCTGACACTTAATTTAAAGACAATTTGATGTACATGGTCCTTACTTTCAGTACAAACAATTATTTTTATATCATGGGTGACTCACTGGATTTTGCAATTAATTTTGATTATTTCCAAATTGTGAAGATTGTTATAAAAAAATAAAAAAAATAAAAATAATTACAGTTGTAATTATTATTTAGCTATATGAAAATCTTACCAATCAACAAAATTTAGTTTTCTTAGGAAATCAATTTGAACAGTATATTCACAAACAGCAGGAATCAAATACCTAGATGCACTGCATAACTTCTGTTACTTTCGGTGTATTCAAAGACAACTTTAATACCATTATACAGTCAAAAAAATTTTCGATAACATCATGTCTGGAAATTTGATATTTTTGTACACCTGTACTAAATAAAATATTTAGAGTAGGTACTTCCAATAATTTGCTGGGGGAAGGAAGAAAGAAAAAAAAAAAAAAAAAAGTTAAGAGGAAAGACCGAATTTTTTTTTTTTTTTTTTTTTTTTTTAGCACGTTTTAAATTTTGGTTAAAAAAAAAAAAAAAAAAAAAATTTAAAAAATGAAGCAAAATTTGTCACTTCCACTCCTTGACTTTTCCATATGTCAAGGCTGTCAATAAATGAATCAATACATCAGAAAAACAAGTCACTATGGTTAAGCAATAGTTTTCTTTGTTTTTTATGCTAAAATAAGTAATGTTTCAAATCAAATTAATTAAACTTTAAATTTGCTAATTTTCCTCAAATGTTGTTTCAGCAGAAACATTTAATTTCTGCAAGATTTCTAAAACCGAGAACAAACTGGTTTACAAATGTCACAAAAAAAAAAAAAAAAAAAAAAAAAAAAAAGGGACTTGATTTTACTGAGGGAGAAATAAAAGAAAAATTTTTTAATCAAAATTTCAAAACATACTACAAAGGATTTAAAAACTTAAAATAATCAAAAAATAAGTTGGTCTTTCCTCTAAATGACAAACATTTTGATGACCAAAGTTTGATTTTATCAAGTTTGGGGCCTTTTTTCAGTGAATCATTAGAGGTACCTAATTTAGAGGCTATCTAAAGAGCACCATTTGTATTTTTAATTGGTTGTATTCTCATGTCCAATACGCCTGTGTTATGAGGATGAATCACACAGCTGGTGTACTTGGAACAGCAAATTTGCCATATAGTCAGCTGTTCATGCCAATAATGCTTTAAAGATGCATTTTTATGTTATAAATTGAGTGATTTCATAAATCAAAGTTTTTGAATACCCAACACCAACTGTTTTATTCAATATGTAGGTCTCTCTATCACATCTTAAAAATTAAACATGAAAATAATAATACAGAACTTGTCTTACTTTGTTTCAACATCACAGTGGGGAAAAATATCACTATTTTCTGTCAGTTTCTAGTAATGTAAATATAGTATGCATGTGGTTATGGTTAGAATAGTTCTTGATACTGCTTAAAATATACCACTGTACGCCCACACGTGCACAGTGGGTCCAAAAGGGTCATTCAGCAGACTTAAGCATATTGCTTACTCAAAAACTCCTCAGATATAGTATTTGGGAGTTTGTTAGAAGCAAAATAGCAAGTGAAAGTCTACCTAACATTGAAATTTAAAAATTTAAAGATTTTGGAGTGGTAGTTCTGTAAAATTAGTCTTTTCAGATTTGAACCTAAATCTCTAGTTTTACACAGTTTACTTTAAAATCAAAATGGGAATTGATCGATTTGTTTTTTATGGGTTAACTTTTTGCAGGTTATTTAAAGTCAGAAAATATTTTTAGATTGTAAGAATATTTGGGAAACAATGATTTACTGCTACAAATCCTACTAATTAACCCATAGCTGGAGGAGAGCGGTGGATCTATACGTTTCCCAAGGAAATTTGCACATAAGTGAATATAACAAACTTGACTGGAATTGGAACTCTGATTTTCAATTCCATGCCACTATCCATTACACCACCCACACATCTAAGCTTACAGCACTTGGTATTCCCAAGCAGTCACCTATTGAGGTACTGATCAGGCTCAATGTTGCTTAACCTCGATGATCATACAAGAACCAGTGTTTCAACATAATATGGTTATAAGCCCATCAAAATGAAAGCTAGGCTTGATAACATTTGTTACTGTGTATGAATCCAATATTTCCAATCTTAGATGATTCCATTCTTATTTAAGCATGAGGAATTGGGGGTAACCTAGCATGTTAGAAAAATGAGGCCAAAGATATAGCAATCTGGTTGGGAAGGCAATATTCAAGAAGTAACTATTAAAAGGGAAAAATGATCCTGTACATGCTTTTTTTTTTTTACTTTCCAAATCAAAAGAACTTTACTAGTTACAAAATCAGCAGACCATTGAAATCATCCTCAGTAAGAACAGTAGTTTCTTCAGACTGACATGCTCGAGCAGAATGACAAACCAACTAGCAGATCTTGTGAACAAGTTTGGTTTTGTTCTTCTGATAGTTTACAATAGAATCTGATGATAACATTATTATGTCAACAAGATGGTCTTTCTAGGATGTTTTTCTTGAAGTGTTAGTTTTCACCAATCTCAAGATGTTCTATCCTTCAAGACCAGACTAGTCAAGGGCACCCAGACCAGACCAATCAATGAACTAAGCTCTCAAGAATGGGTAAAAAAAAATTTTTTTTTTTTTAAGCTATTGGCGTGATAAAAATGCCTGGACTAGAGAGGTTTCTATTCGCCATAAATTTAAAGTTGGAGAAGAAAAATATGCAAGTCCATACTTCTCCACATGTACTTGCTCAAGACTCACATTATCACACAGATGCTGACCAAAGTATTTGCAAGTATTTTTATAATTATCTGGAAGCTTCCAAAATATAAAAATTCTCTCAATATTGCTATTTGTGGTGGTGTAGCAATGTGCGTGTCAACTAGGGTTCTGTTAAATTGAAAAACAGCAGGACCTGTTGCAAAACCGGATCCAGAACATTTACTTTCAACTGATGGTTATCAGTAAGTGGAGTCAACTTCAAAGTACAGAGCAAAAGGCTCAGACAGAGAGAAAGTGACTGAAGGAAGATATCTTCATTTAAAAAAAAAAAAAAAAAAAAAAGTTGACAAGACAAAGAAAATGGTTGTCTATAAAACTGACCATCCTGCAAAAAGGAAATCAGAAAGAATGAAGTGGGTCTTGCAAAATGGACAGGGACAACAGTCACTGAACTGTGTATCCACCCTCACTTACGCCTCATCTCTACTTCGCTCACTTATAGTAGGTTACAACCTAGAAACATAATTTGGTCTACTGCAAGAAAGGTTTTAAGCATCTGACTGAAAGAAACAGCACCTTGTCAAAGAACCTTGCCTCTAGTCTGAACTGCAACACAACAGTGGTAGTACCATCTTTGCCAGTCTTGTCAGAAGCATTCCACTGCAAACCCAGGTTACCTTCATCAGTAAGTCTTTTGAGGCCTTAATCAACAATAAAGTCATCGAGCACCTGGATAAGAACCTCTTGTGCAACAAGCAGTATGGCTTTCAATCAGCTCAATCCACTGCTGACGTCCTATCACTACAAACAGAATTAGTGAGGCCCTTGATGACATTTCATACAAGGATGATAGCATTAGATATCACAAAGGCCTTCAACAAAGCACAAAGCTTTGCTACACAAGCTCTCCAGCACTGGAATCACTGGAAGGGTTTTCTCTATTATAATATCCTAACAGGTAGATCCCTAAAGGTAGTTATTAACAGCCAATCCACCTAGGTTTCAATGGTCAATGCAGGCATCCCCCAGAGGGTCACTTCTTGGACCAACCCTCTTTCTAAGAATATACTCCAATCACTTGTAAACATCTATGCCGATGATACAATAGACAGGCACACCTCTAAAAACCGATGATCAGAGATTGGCAGCTGACCTCTGTTCCAACCTAACACTAACTTCCCAGTTGAGCTGGCTGGTTACAGTCAATGCCTCTAGAACCAAACTGGTTACATTCCGTCACCACCGATCAGACTGAACCACTGCCAGTCACGATGAATGGATGGCCCCACGAGAAGGAACTGCGACTAAAGAGGATATTGTGCCTGAGATTCAAACCGGACCTCAAGTGGTATTCCTATACACAATCCATCATTAAAGATGCAGATAAAATGATCGGCTCCCTGTACCAATCATGTAACCTTATAAGTGCCAGATCAAGCCGAAAATAGAGTACTGTCACCATATTTGGACAGGAGCTGCCCAGACCTCACTTTCCAGTTTTGTGTTCAAAAGGGTTTCAGAACCATAGTTGGAGAAGAATTATTTTCCACACTCTAAACACTCTCACACAGGTGAGATGTGGGGAGTTTCACTGCTCTATCACCACTGCCATGGAAAGTGTTTGGGCGAACTGCATCTCCTGATTCCACCAGGTCTGACCTTCACAGCTAGCACCTGCCATGCCACATAGTAACAAACCACCCTCTGCTTCTGTAATTCCATTTTTAAAGAACTCTGGTGAACCTCCTGATCACTCAAATTACCATCTTATTAGTCTTATCTCTTTTTGGCAAATATACTCTGGATTGGTTAAGGATCTCACCTCACACGGCCTCCTTTCAGATAAACAATATTACTTTTGCTTCTCTTGTTCAACAATTGATCTGTTAATGGTTATTACAGAATTTTTCCATCAAGCTTTAGATAAGAATGGTGAAGCTCAAGCTATGACTTTAGATATTTTGAAGGTGTCAGTTATGGTGTTTAGCTGAATATGATCCAATCTTTCTTAACAGATTGTGTGATGAAAAGTTATGTTGAACAGTCACTCTTCTAGATCTTTTCACATTAATGCAGGGATACCTTAGAGCTCTATCCTTAGACCTATATGGTTTCAACCTTCCTGATGTAATCAGTTACCAACTTGGTATTTATGCTGATGACAACTATTTAATCTTGGCTTAATAGTAAGTCTAATAAAGTAAAACTGGAAGCTGATCTCAAAAATGACCTTCAATCAGTTATTAACGGAGACAAGAAATTGTTTGTAAATTTTAATTCCGCCAAAACAAAACTGCTAAAAAAAAAAAACAAAAAAAAAAAACAACAAACACACACACAACAAACTATGTTTGCCTTCCATCAGCATGGCCAATGCTAATTTCCAAGAGAGCAACTTTGCACCTTCTTGGTCTCGCTTCACTGACATGAAGTGGAATAATTATATTTGATCAATTGCTAGGTCTGCTGCTGGGACAGTTGGATCAGTGTCATGTTAGAATCCATCATACAAGTTTTAAAATTTACCATGTTTCTCTGCATTGAATATTGCTGCCATATTTGGTCTGGTGTCTGTTCTATATATCTCAAGATCCACAACAAAATTCAAAGAAGATTCTGTAATGTTATCAGTCCTAACCTGGCATCTCTACTTCAGCCACTTACCCACCAGTGACATAGCTTCCTGCAGTCTTTTCTATAAATATTTTCATAACAAGTGTTCCGAGCTTTCATTCCTGTTACATCAACTGCATGAATTTTAGCATACTACTAGACTGGCAACTAGGTCTCACAGTTTTTCTGTTGAAATAGGGTTACATCTGGCTAATAGTTTCTTCCCTCATACTTCATGTATGGAAGTCTTCCAGTTCCTTGCTTCCCAACTACAATCTTCAAAAATTTAAATGCAACATCAGTCTTCCAAACTCCTGTTCTCTTGACCTCTCTCCTTACTTCCCCCCTCCCTCTCAGTAACCGCTTGTGTTTAATGGCATTGTCATTTTGCTTGGCGTTAAATAAATAATAATAAAAAAATAAATAAAAATAAAAAAGGTCAAGTAATCATATTTATTATATTCCTTAGACCAAAAATGGATCCATGTCAAACTTCAGTTCAGTCCTTGTTTTGATGTTTCTACAATTTATGCAAGTTCTATTGAAAATATATAACTAGCAAGATATTTGTTAAAACAAATTGGATGATTTACTTATGGTTCAGTACAGTATCTGTATACTGTGAAGTGTTAGAAACAAAAATATATATGGGTACACATTACATTTTATACATTTGTATAAGTTATCCAGACAAATGATCCTATCATCTTTATAGGTACTAAACTAGTAAATGGTTTATATTGTCAAAAAAGACATCAATATTTAAGTAATTTTGTGGCTAAATTTCTGGGATAAAGTTATTTACACATACTGTTGGTTTTATCACATTTCAGGTGCTGTGTCTGCCAACTTTCATCAAGTGCTTACTGATCTAGAACCTTCAATCATCCTGGGTAGACTACTAGTTGAACAATGTTTATGGATATCACATCTAGTTCTCATTTATTACAGCTCAGTTATTGCTCGCCCTGTTTTGGCCCAGAGATTGAATTCACAATTACTAAGTCACCAAATTCAGGAACCAACTGTTTAATCACTAGGCCATTGTCCACATGTACTTATAAAATCATGTTGATTAGCATTATGTTTAAGCTGAATACTACCTGAATATTAAACTAAATAAATAACATTCTATTGACCACTGTAAAAATTATGGAGTTTTATTTAACACAAGCAGAAGCTTATAGTTTGTAAATGGGTTCAATATTTTGGCATCAACCATGTTGGAGAAATTGGAAAAAGAAACATTAACTGAAAGTATTAAGTTGCCTTGACCCCTAATCCTAAATATATTTAAAAAAAAAAACGAACAACTGCAATAATTATTAAGCACATGCAATTTATCTTAAATATAAAGGATATAACTATAAGGTACACTAATACACCCTAAAATGCACTTAATTGTGTTCTACTCATAAGTATCAATTAGAATTGTCCAATTTTATTTAAGAGATATATATTGTATTTTTTCTTAAAAAGAAAAATTTATGTATATTATACTACACTAAATCTTTCACTTCATTCTTCTCATAATTTTTTATACTTCAGTCTTCTCAACGTCACTTCTAGCTCCAATCATCCCTTCTCTTTGACAATTTTAATGAATGACACAGAAGAAAATTAGAGAAATACTGACAATTATGACTATATCATTACTATATTTAAGAATATTTTAAATTAATTTTGATTGTGTTTTTGCCAGAGTACAATTAACCATTATATCTTATAATCTAAAATTAATTCTGCTTTAAAAATTATTAAAAAGTAAAAATATCCTAAGACTGTTAATGCAAAACAAAATAAAAAGCAATATATTACCTCTTAGTGTCAGGTTAATTTCAAATAGAATAGATTATCTCAAGAAGCAAAGAGTGTGGCCAATAAATATAAAATCACATTTTTTTATATTGTATGATAAATTTCAATAGTTGCCAAATTCTAAAATTAACATAAATACTGGATTACCAAATATATATTTTTCGAGAAAAATTCTACATAGCTATAAGTAACACTAAAATTATACTAATTAATCAAGTTACTGCAAATGACAAGTACTTTCATCACTGCAGAATAGTAAGATTCAAGCTATCAACTTATGACACCAGGTTACATACAGGATTTTATTCAAAAGAGTTAACAGTTGTGTCATTCACCCCCCCAAATTGCCTTGATGAATATTCTAAAACTTGACTTTATCATTTTATTTCACTTATTTTTCAGAGGTTTACAATTCCATCAGTAGATGTTTTCTCTTATAAGAATATTGGCATTGAAAGATTCCTACAAATAAAAGTAATTTATAGTATTTATTTTGCACACACAGTTGCAAAATAATTATTTAAAAAAAAATAAATAAATAAATAATTACACATGCAAAGGTTGCTCCAATCAGTACAACTGAAAGTTACTGTCTACAAGATAGAACTATAGTCACTTGACTTTCTTTTTGGAAAAGTTCTCCACCTGAAAGATAATGCACAACTCAGACTGAAAAAAAAAAAATCAAAGTCAATTACATATATCGTAGATCAGTACAAATGTTAATGCTTCATTATACACACACAACTATAGATAAAAATCCTTTCAGCTACTAGAGGCAACTTACAGTACAATAAAAACATTAGGGTATTTGTGTTCATCTAATCAATCCCCCACCCAAATCTAATTGGTGAATTACCCCTACTTGCAGGAATCATCAAGATCCAGAAGTTGAAGGAATGGAGTTCTGAGATAATATATATAAAAAACAAGATAAAAAAAAAAAACAAGATAAAAAAAAAAAAAAAAAAACAAAACAAAACAAAAAAAAAAAAAAAAAAAAAAACAAAAAAAACAAAAAAAAAAAACAAAAACAAAAAAAAAAAAAAAAAAAACAAAAAAAAAAAAAAAAAAAAAAAAAAAAAAAAAAAAAAACAAAAAAAAAAACAAAAAAAACAAAATAACAAAAAAAAAAAAACAAAAAAAAAAAAACAAAAAAAAAAAAAAAACAAAAAAAAAAAAAAATAACAAAAAAAAACAAAATAACAAAAAATAACAAAAAAAAACAAAACACAACACATACACACAGAGCTAAAACAGTGATTAAAATAGAAAGGCCGAAAATGATTTCACCCAACTGTTGGATAATCACTAATATTAACATTTTGGGTGATATATCATGAATTTGTTTGTCTTGGTAAAACAAAAAACAACAAAAATAAATAAATTCTTGATCATTAGCATTTTTTTTTCAAACTTCAAAATGCTTGCAAACACATCTATCTCACTAGGTAGCAATCACCATAATGATAAGAGTTTTGTATAACTTCTTTATCATAAAATCCAAGCTTGCTTTAAATTACAAATTGGTTTTTAATTTTCTTTTAATGAAAAGCTACTTTTATATAGCATAATAAAAAAGGCATTCTTGGAGAGTCTTCCTAGTAAATATGCAGTTTCTAATTGACAGTGTGTAAAAATGGAGAAAAAAAAACCTGTATTTAGTAGCATCATTACATCTTAAATTTTTCCAGAAATAATTATAAATATAAAAAATGAAGCTATTATGAGTTAAGAAAATTCAAATTAGCTCTTTCTCAAACTTAGTGTCAAAATACATGGATACCTATTGTATAAAAATTGCTTATTTTTCTGAAGAATTTGCTAGCATTAAGTTCAGTCTTCACTGGATGCTTCCCCTACACTGGTTTTGGGTCAGATCAGGCTGAATGGATCTAATGTTCAATTTTTTTTCACTTACCAATATTTTGGCCATTAATCTTATTACAAATGTAAACCTTTTTTAAAGTTTTATTTGGGAGGTAATTTTCAATGAACTACCCAATTTATAGAGTTGAATTTTTGCTTCATTGTATGAATTGTGCAGATAAAGATTCAGTTAACAGACAAACCATTATACTTTCATTGCAAATTGAACATCTATTAAAAATTTTAAACTTATTTAAAAAAGGTACTAGAGTCCCTTTTGTAACCATGGAAAATTTGGAGTGCATAGCTTTAGCCTCACAGCATAGCTCTTATGTGATGAAATAAAAACAAAAAAATTTGAAAAAAAAAGATTCAAATAAAAATGAAGAGAAAAAAAAAAAAAATGATTATACCTTTAATACTTTTATAACACATTTTTCATTGTTTGTTATATTGATAGCTTCAAAAACTTCACTGTATTTTCCTCTTCCAAGTTTACGTACAATCTGGTAATCATCTTGTAGCCTAAAAAAAAAAAAAAAAAAAAAAAAAAAAAAAAAAAAAGTTTTAATAGATTGCCTTTTTTTTTTGTTTATAACATAAAAGAAATGTAAACAATTCCATAACCATTATTTTCAATGAATATACTCATGCATGTTAAAATCATTGTGAAAACAATCTGTAATAATATTTCAAATATTTATAGTGAGCAGTCAACTACATATGTTAATTGTATACAGACAAAAGTCCCTAAAAATATATGCTGCTTATAATATTGTATGTGCTTATATAGTAAGACAATTTAGATAACTTAGATAGGTTTTACTGATATATAAAAAAAGAGCTAACTTCACTTAAAAGCAAGAGTTTACAATGAATGTAAACACTACCCCAAAACACATCAGTGAAAAAAAATCAAGTCCAATTTAAAATGGGATCCAACTGGTTATATTCATTCAGTCAGCAATATAGATTTCAGTGCCAGACTAAACAGTTCTGCACAAATTGAACACAGTATACCCTCTTTTATTTGCATGCACACAGATATAAAACCAACTGATTATTAAAGACAAGACACTGCCCTACAAGAAGGTTCAATTTTCATTTTTATTTCAACAGTTGAATTTCTCTAGTATTTCATCCACTAAAATTTTTCAACTTAAAATATTTTGTGAAAGGCAACTTCAAACCGTAAGTCAACAAATTGATGAGCATACTTTTTCTTTAAGATGGGACTGTAGATATGTAGAAAGACAATTCAAAGCGCAACAAGTTTTACAAACACCACTATGAAATTGTCTACTTTAAAAATGCAGTAAAAGAGGTGGCCACCACCAAAATTGTCAATTTAAAGATGACTTTGAAAAACCAATCATTATGCACAAGAAACAATTGTATCTTTATAAAGAGAAAGGATTAAATTTTGTTTGCATATTAATTTTAGCAAAATAACCTTGAAAATAAACAAGATAGCAATTGAAATTGAAGGAAACGTCATTATTTTGACACAATTTCAGTGTAAACTAGGGCAGTTTAGGATACCTATTAAAATAATCCTTATGTACTAGGTACCACAAAAAATTCAATAAGAAAAAAGTGTATAGCATGATGAAAAAAAGGCCCCAAACTTGATAAAAATAATTTTTTTTTATCATCAACATGTTATGAAGAGGAAAAACCAAAGAAATTTTGGTTAAAAAAAAAAAAAAAAAAAAAAAAAAAAAAAATTGTTTTTCTTGCAAATGGGAAATTTAGTCTTTTGTGGTAAAAAACACATTGTTTTGGAAGTTCTTGCAAAAATCAAATAATTGTCAGATTTTAATTAAATTTTCAGGACTTATTCACAAATGAAATTAATATTTTTTTTTTTTTTTTTTTTTTTAAAATACATGTTGCCCCCACTTAATTTTATGAAATTTCAAGAAATTAAAATTCTACCCTTTTCGCATTTATATTCATTGAAAACAGGACTCTTCAGAGAATTTAAATCAATTTGATTTTTTTTTCAAACAGAAAAGCTCATTTACTGAAAATCTGCCCCAAATCATAAAATAAAAAATTCAATAAACTGACATTATTGCTTTTATAAGTAAGACATTAAAAGGATGCTATTTTCTTAAATTTTTTTCAATGAATGGAATTTTTACAAGAATGGTTTTCATTATTTCTAAATTTTAATTAGAATAAACTTGAGTTTTAAATCTTAAAATTCTCTATAAATTTCAGCCATTTAGATGATATAAAGTAAAAACTATATTTACTAATCATAAATGGAAAAACTTAATAAAAATCAACAGCAATATTTTTAAAAGAATTTTGAATTTTTTTGCATGTGTATAAATGTGCCAATTTTTGTTCATACACAACCTTATCAGAAACTAAGTGCAATAGTGAATTTAAAGCCAGAAAGTATCTAAAATTCAATAAAATATTAAATTACATAGAATATTTTCCTAACTTTTCAAGAATACCGAGTACCTAAAAATTATGTATAAAAAAGGTACTTGTTATATTTGGTTATTTATTACAGCTAAAGCCCACATAGGACAAAACTAGATAAACATGAATCTATCAAATGTCATGATCTTAAATAAACAGCTACTATGGTGTTAAAAAATGCATTTCTGCAATATTTTAAACTTAAAGTAAATATTTGTTTCAAATCTGATTAATTATACTTTAAATCAACTAATATTCCTCAAATAATGTTTCAGAAAGGTATATTTTATCATTGGAAGATTTAAGACAATTATATTGTGATGAATAACTTAAAAAGCAAAAACTCCTTCCAATCAATTTACATTAGTTTTTCAAATACAGCAAAGTATTTTGCTTATTGGAAATATTAAATTTAATCTATTAGCTTGAAATTAAGACTGTATGGATGGGCATGGATGCAAATTATATTTCCTTTGATGTAAGAAAAACAGTGCTCAATAAGAGCTATTAAGTATAGCTTAGTAAATATACAGGATACATTTCACCGACAGTACAACTCAGCTCAATGCATTCATTCTTAGTCATACTGTCAGCATAGGGTATATATAACTACACACACATATATATATACATACACACACTAGAGTCTCCTATATGCACAAGGATCTTGAAAGATGGAATATCTACCTTTGTTAGTTCATGAGCAATTCAATATTCTTTATGTATCCATAATTTATCTTGATTTTGTCTCCAGTGAACAATTCTTGAAATATGCCCATTTCAATTCTTAATCTTTTGTGAAGTATTTGTGTATGTCGAGTCATAACCCAGAACTGTTTTACAAATGACAGACAAGTCAGAAGCATTAATACACAATAAAATTTCTTTTATATATATATATATATATATATATATATATATATATATATATATATATATATATATATCTCAATTGCCAATGTTTTCTCAGCCTGGATGATCTTAATTACTTTACAAATTATCTTAGATTGCCAGTGTAAAGTGAGGTAATTTACATTACTCCCAACTATAGTCTGGATAATTCATCAAGATTTGAAGAACATCTTTCTTTGATTTACTGATAATTCTATTTCCTTGTCTGATAGATTCCACTTTATTTTTGTTTTTTAAAGACAATTGGTCTGATTACACATGTCAAACCCAGATCTTGCTTAGTTTGTTGCCAGCAAACTGCCCCTCAATTTACATAACTTTACAGATAGGCTTATGTATATATATGCTATACCTGATATGCTCTCCATGGCATCTGTTTAAGTTCAATCTGCTTGAGCTTTGAAAATAATAAACTTACAATTACTTTAGCATTCAACTTACAATTATATTTTATCAATTAGTCTTTGCTATTTGCTTCATATCCAACCCAATATAACTAAGTTTCAATTAAATTTTCAGATTTTTAAAAATTTAAATTTCAGTTTATTAATAACAGCCACCTAAAAATCTTTCTCAGCAAAAGTTATTGACAAGGGTCAAAATAATACTGTTATTTTCTATGACTTGATCACATTTACATACTTCAGCACCAAGAGCAAATAATTTGTTTCACCGTAACATTCAATGACCAAGTTGCATTGCTTAGACCATAGATATAATTTCTGAAGTCTACTGGCAGGCAATTTCGCCAAAGCAGTGGCACCAAATGAACTTCCGTATTAAGTTAATATGCCCTGCAACAAAGTAGTCTTGATATCCAAGGTATTAAAGAATCAACCATTAGATGCTATAATAGCAAGAGCTACCCTGAAACCCTCCTTAGAAGTTGGTGAATCCATTCTGAGAATATTGGCATAATCACCCTAGAATCCTTTTACAACCAATCTTGTCGCCTTTTCAACTTTTCCTCCAACTACTTTGTCTGTGAAAATCCATCTTGTGATTCTAAGCTGCCCTGAGTCAATCATTTCTGTATAAACAGTTTTTAAATCCAACTAATTCTTTCTGTTTAGCATGAAGCACAGCACAATCACAAAGTCAATGCATCTTCTTTCTCCTCTTCACCAATACATTTTTCTATCTTTCTTCCTCATTTAAAAAAAAAAAAAAAAATAGTCACATCTATCAAGAATATTTACATAGAACTTATTTCTCCCGTTGACCTTGCCAGTACAACTAATCAGTTTCATCATTGAGGAGTTTAACTATTTTTTTGTCCTGGCTTAGATAAGTCTGACCACAAAAAGGGTCTATCGAGACCTATGTATCATCTGTGTGTAACACTTGTGTCCTATTCTTACTGTACTAAACAAGGTTACCATGAAATCACTGGGTATATCGGATGATGAGAGTATCTATTTTTCAAAAAAAATGACCTCCGAGCTGCATGCAGGCTTCTAGAGAATTGAAGTTCTTTCCATTAAGAAAATATTGTAGGGGAATGAATTAAGTGGTAATCCAAAAGTGCAAGCTCAGATGAGTATGCCTTGTGTACTAGGGCATCCCAGCCAAACTGTACTAATTTCTTCAAAATTTGTGAAGAGAATGTCTGGCATTGTGCTGATGGAAAGCCATACCAGAGTTCCCAGCTTAAAATAAAATTTCCTGATATCCATGAAAAGTATTCCATTGAAATTTTCTGATTTTGACAAAGAAACATACATAGAATGTAAGCTTTCTCATCATAGAAAATATAACATCTCTAGTTCAAATACAAGATGTAGCCAAGTTAATTACTTTCTTGACCTTGTAAGTTCTGCTGCAAGGTCCCTGTCAATGTCACTTAGTTCTTTTCTAATATTCTCATTCAATTTTAAGCACTTTGAAGACTAATTTGTTCAGCTGCCCTCTTTGGCTTTCTGTTCCTCAGCAGACATCCCTCCCCTGTTACATTTTAAACATTCCTAATGAAAGAGTTTGTCATCTTCCCATATTAATGGCTTTTGACAAAAGCAGCAGAGTTTCACTAAGATTCATGAGCCATGAAAATTTCAGGATTAAGACTTCAGATCATTCATTCAGGATGAAAAGAAGTAGACACTTATTCATATTTCACTAATCATAGAAATTATAGATAGATAAGACATAATAATATTTAGCATTTATTTTCAAAC